ACACACACACACACACACACACACACACACACACACATACGATAAAAATATAAATATGTAATTTCATTTGGTTAATCAATATTTTCATATTCCAGTTGTGAAAAAGTAACTCAAAGTCCCTGCAAGTTTGGCTTTAAAGCTGAAGTATTTCTCTACAACATTACAGATTCATTTTTTTATCTTTAGATATCAAACTCCAACACATATGTTTATCTGCCTTATCAAGACCGTATGGTTTTATCAAATCTGACTGACAGTGTCCAAACAACCCAGTTGTGATACTATTGAGAGATGTTTTGGGGTGGATGAGACAAGGGTTACATTATGGCAAAAGAATCATTTTATATATGTGAACTCTGAACAACAGGGGCTAAAATTTCTGTGACTAAATTTGGGATTTTGTTTCTCAAAGGTTACTTGTATTACCTATCATCTATCAGCTACGATAGCAAAGTATCAAAATGAAATCAAGTCTTTAGTTAGAGTGAAGGTTTAATCTGAATCAGTAGGGAGACCTGTCCACAGACATGCACCTGGACAGCAGGGTGGTCCAACATGACATGTAAACTGGAAATGCTGAGGAACATGTAACAACTACTGAGTGACAAGGGGACACACTCACTACCAGAGGTGAGAAGCATGAAAACAAACAGAAGGGTATGGCATTTTCCCAGTCATCACAATCAGACTCTTTAAAAATGACTGAAAAATACAGACAAAAGCACACTCAGGCATACACACACACAAGCTGTACACACAACATATCACCTTGTGCACTGTTAAAATTCCAGTTGTGCTCATGAGACACAAGTTCAGGAGCCTCAGTGCAGCTACAGACACATAATGACTCCCAGCAGCCAATGACAACAGCCTTCCTCCCCATACAATGTACACTTGACACTGTGCACCGACCTCCGCTGCACTCAGTCGCAGCTCTCCCACAGAGGAGGCAGGAGAGATGGAAGCCAGAATAATGGGCCAGCGGTGATTCATAAAAGGTGATTGTCTATGACATGTGGTGTTCAGCCAAAGGCCAAAGGCCATCGCGGTGGTGTTGCCCTTTACAACGTCACATTAGGCCTCGCTAATTCGCAGGCAATTAGCTTGGCTTCATGGGCGCTAGCCTGAGGCGATGGGTTTAGCAAGAGAGCAGGTGAGTCAGCACAGACTGCAACAAGCCATGTGGTGAAGGTACAAGTCTAGACTGCATTTCTCAAATGGAAAATAATGGGAAGGCCTTCACATGTCACTAATAATGTAACGGTGAGATGAGCTTTAAACGTGCAGAATCTCCCAACATTGTATTTAGCATGAACAGAACAGCACAGCATGGTCTGTTACATCATCAGGACAAGTCAGTACAAAAACAAGCTATAGCTTAACAAATGACAAAACATTCGACACTAAACAGAGAATACTGTCGGGCAGGTGTTGAAGGATGGCTTTTAGAGTAAGATCCTGACCGCTCTTGGAATAAATAAATAAATAAAATGCATTCTGATTTCATTCCAGATGACTCACTGTGACAAAATGACAAATAAGAGACAAAGACAGAAAACAAGAAAGAGAAACCCCTGTGTGGCTTTGGTCTCTTGCTGTGTATCATTATAGTGGAGGGACACGTGGGTGTGAAAGGGCAGCAAGGGGGCTGCAAAGGGCATGGGGCAATAGGGTGGCGCATAGTGTAGGCTGCAGGCTGAAAGAGGGGGAGGTACAGTACAAATATAAGGGAGATACAAAATAACACTAGACTGACGCAGCCTGATGCAAACAGATTTGCATTTCACTCCAGTTCCAGTATACAGTACTGTCTCTAGTCCAACTGATTTCCTTTCTCTAAAAACTAAGCATGCTACAATGCATGTTACACAAGATGAATCTAGAGGTGTGACTGAGCTCCATAAACAGAATATCTTATGCATGCTATTTAATTTTGTGACTTTTCTTTTTGTAAACTTCCTGCACAGCCCCAGAGGAAACTTCTCATCATTACTTCTCAGATGAAAAGAGCTCCTCATATTCATTTCCAGCTAAAACAAAAAAAAAAATTTCTCATGACCTTGAAAAGCTATGCGATTATGACAGCTAACTAGACTGGCCGTATAATGCATCTGAAAGTGTGGACGTGCGTGCGTGTCTCTGTGTTTGTGTGTAGACACAATGCACGCTTAAGTAAGCTCATGGTGTTCGACCAGTCTACGTATTTGTGTGATTGCTGAGGATGAAAGCTGATGAATGTGCGTGTGCTGTAGGTGCGTATGACTGTGTGTTGTCCTGGTTTCAACTCTGCTGTTCCTGCGCTCTCACATTATCATACAGAGCAGACAGAGTTCGTGTGCTGGGTAGTAAAACTCTCCTCTGCTCTCTGACAGTCTCCTCTCCCTCCTCCCCCCGCCTCCCCCAACCCCATACCCTCTCCCGCTGAGCTCCCCGTGCGTAATCTGTAGACTGCACACGTACACTGCCTACCTGAGCGGGAGTCTCTCTGTGGGTGTACAAGCCCGCGTGAGTGTGCACACATGTGTGGCAGAGGATGAAGGAGACAGCATGGACCATGAATGAGGCGTTTTGTGAAAGCTCAAGCGTCCGCCTTGACTTGGTACATTCAGAAAACGTGCATTTCAAACTGCGCACTTGCGACGCGTGCATGTATGAGTCGACAATATCTGCAGAACGTGGCAGACGGGCAATTTCTGCGTATGTGTCCCAGTGTGCCCAGCTAACAGCAATCACCTGAACTGGAATGAACCGAACTTATGTAACTTTCCCTGTGATGGCCATGCCTCCTGTGCATCCTTTTCCCAAATATTAACACAGCATTGTAACCAGTGGTTTACACTGAATAACTGCAAAGTGCTAATTTGTTACTTTAAATGTTTCTAAAATGTCAGTTCATACACAGGTCAGTGGTTGTGGAAATGTTCCTTCTCCAAAGATCTGCGTAAGACTCTTTATGGAAGAAGAAAAGACAAACTGCATTAGCTCTTTGTTTGAATATCTTAGAGTTTCACAATGGTTCCTTAAAAAAATATGTGCAGTCAAAAAATATATATACTGACAAATAAAAGAATAATGAGCACTGTTTATATGACCCTGACATACAGCAAGTGGAAAGCAACATAACTTTGGGCAACCAACTCTCTGCACTGATATCGCAGACAAATGCCAGAACATGTAAAAATAAAACCACAATGCTGTCAGTATAGTGCTTTAATGATGCTACTAGAATGCAGCCACACACACACAAATCAATGAATCTAGAGATGTAATTATGGGATACTAAAACATCCTGGCAACCAAATACAACCAGCAGAAGCCTGAATGGTCTCAGTAACCCCTATCCTCTCTTTCTTCGAACAAAAAAACTAATTGACTGAATCCTACATGCAGGTAAGAAGCTCTGCCAACACAACCTGGCTTGTATCATAACCTTTTTGTCTCCATTTCTGGCATGCATCTCTGCTCAGGGAATAGTGTGTTGAAGATTATAGATGGGGAACAAACACAGGTTAGTGAAAGGGAAAGAAGAAGAGAGGAGTCGGTGACTAAGAGAGTGAAGGAGAGGGTGTGTGTGTGGGGGGGGGGGTAGTGCAAGTGCTTGGGAGATGAAGATGGAAAGTGAAAGAGAGAGAAATAATGAGAGAAGAAGAAAAATGTTCCCGCTCTCAGAGAGATGAATTGGTTGATAGTTTGCAGACAGCCTTTTCAACGTGTCAGTGGAAGGACTATATCCATCCCCTTCTTCACTAATAAGGTAGAGAATCCCCAAGACACATCCATAGGGATCTTTTCATTTGTCTCCAATAACACAGCCACCTTTCTGCTCATATTAGCCAGGATTTGCATAGCTACATTTACATAAGGATTTAATAATGTCATTTGAATGAGACGAAATGCACCTGTCAATCATTCCTGGTTCACTAAAAGGTTTCTGTGCTGTTGGAGGCAACTGCTGGATCAGATTCTTTTCATTTTGAGCACTTGCAGGAGGTTTGGGGTTTGATAGCATTTTGTCAAATTTAAATCCAGTATCAAATGTGATTTCTTTTAAATCCCTTGTCAAATCTAAGATTATCCTTCACCGTTTGTAAATTATAAATATCTTGGCTAAACTCAAAGACTGTAATCACCTTTTGTTGGGTGAGGAAGTAGAAGCACTACAAGTAGCTATGCCTGAAAATTAGACAACCACAATTAAACATAACAACGTTATCTTTCACCTACTTAGCTTTGCTCCTTATTTTTCCTGTGCTACTTGCTCCAAAACTGGAGGTCCTGATTCAAAAGTAATAAGTTAATAAGTCTCAATTTATGTTATGGCATGCATGTGAAAGTATAACTGGCTACCAGACCAGGTTAATTTGGAATCTGTTCAAATCTGTCGAGTCTCTGTTCCTCAGAACCACGTGGAGCCATAAAGAGTTTTAATCCCAGCTACTGAAACTGATGTCAATTAATGATTTTAGCTTGGGAGTAATTCAAGCTTTGTGCAACATTAGCGTTTTGTGGCACATCAGCAGTAATCAGAGCGTTCCACTGGTTTTAGCTAACACTAGCTTTGGACTGGAGGCTGCATTTTGTACAGCTTGTTGCAACCAGGCATCTGTAGGAAGGACAGGACAGGAGGGCAAAGAGCAATAAGGAGTGGTTTCTGGTGTGAGTTTGTTTTGAGTCTCATTTGACCTTCTAGCAGCTGAAAAGAAATTCAGTGTCTTTAAGTTAAAGAATGCTAATTAGTTCTATGTGATAAATGAACAGTCTCTGATGTTTGTCAGTAAAACGAAAATGAAAGAGTGACACTCAACACTAGCCAAAAAAGGGGGAGCCAGCTACCTGGATGTCTTCTACTTACTCTTTTATTACATAACATAGAGAGGATATATTAAAAATGTGTGAATAAGACAGCCTTGAGTGCTTAGCCAATACAGATGTTTTGTTCTCTGAACTCCAACATAATGAGGAAGATCAAAAATCATGGTTTGCCTCTCGTTTTGTCTTACCTTCCAGCCACTGCCTGCCTCTCGATAGTAGGGGAAGTTGTCACATATCCACTGGTAGATCTCACTAAGGGTCATCCGTTTGCGCGGTGAGCCATTGATGGCAAAGGTGATGAGACTGGCGTAGCTGTAGGGTGGTTTACCATCTCTGTGCTGTGCAGCTTCTTCCTGGTCCAGCGTTGTTCCTGGATCCAGATGGGCAATTTTCTTGGCAGGGCCGTGCCCGGGATGGTGAGTGTGGTGGTGGTGTACGTGGTGGTGGTGTCCTGTGCCTGCCTTCTGGATGGCTGCCCTCATGCTGAGCTGGGGCAGCCAGTCCATTGATGTCAGGCTACTCTCCAGCTCAGAGGTCATGGTGCTTTGAAGGTCAAGGTGTCAAAAGGAAACGTTGAGAGGTTCAGCGAGGTTGCCTATAAAGGATTTCCTGTTGGCTCACTGAATGGGTGCTGTGCAGCAGCTTTGGCTCAAGTCTGCAAAAGCAGGAGGTTTGTTTACTATGCCTGTTCGCCTCCTTTAGCTACAGCAGAAAGCACACGTTGGCAGAGAGACAGAGATGTTGACTTGCACATTATTTTCTACATACAAATAGCTTTTGTATAATGGAAAACTGAATATTTTGGCATGTTCATTACTTGGCCTTTAACACTACATTTAAATATGACTGGCAATGTGAGCTATGGATAAGAAAAAACTTTACACAAACTGTTGTAGTCCATTAATTACACAGTGAGAAGAAAACAGTATGTGGGACTAGGTATAACTTAAGTGTCTTACTCTTCCCATTCCTTTCCATCTTTCTTTGTGCCAAAGCATCTGGGGAAGTCACCACTGTGAAAGGCAGAGTCCTTCCCTCGTGCATGTTCACAAGTTCTTCATTTTGCCACTGCTGCAACACACAAGCACAAATCCACAGAAGATGATGAGCTTGCTCTGTCAGGCAGCCTTTATAAGATATTAATATCGCACAACCACTCAACTGGCCTCGGCATCTGTCCAACCCGATTAAAACTCTTCTCTCTTTCACGCTCTGTGTTCTGCCTATCTGGACTGCCTCTCACTCTTGTTCCCTCCGAAGTGAAAATGGCAATTGGATCTGCAGAGTGACTAAAAGCTGGGGAATTGTTTTCACAAGTGCCTGCAAAACGGGGGAACAGCTCAGGAAGCATTCCAACCCTCCAGAGGAGCTGAAAGGATCGTCCCCTTTCGCTGTCTATGTTCACCCCCCCCCCCCCGCCCCCCCGAAACACCATGTTTCCATTCTCTGACTCCTGACGTGCCTCACTCTCTTGTCAAATCCATGCCCACCCCCACCCCTCCCCCGCATCTGAGATCCTCCTCAGACAGACTCAAACAATTAAAAACTCAAGAAGCCTCAACATTTTAATTTGGTAGCTATTTTTAGAGCGATGCTCTTCAGAGAACTTTTTTTTTTTTTTTTTTTTTTTTTGCTAGTGCAGGCTTTTGCAAAAACTATTGGTATGATTCAGGATGAAACAAAGACCGTTTCTTGGTACACATGGCAAATTACTCACCAATTGTTCTGTACTTCAGTCAGTCACAGAACATTCATAGATTTGTCACTACTGGACTGAGAATGTCATGTAACTGTTACTCATCACTGGAATGAAGATGTTGCATTTATACCACACTAATTCAACAAAGAAATTTGCCTTGTTTGGTGCTAATTCAATATGATGTTTTATATTCTATGGAAATGTAGGTCTGCAAGTTTTGTGAACAAGTTAAATTGTGGGCTATTTCTAATGAACACCTAACAATGGCTAGAGGGTTTCAGCCTCCTAAGGATACAGAAATCAACATCTAAACATTCCTTTACCATCCCATGCATTAACCTTCTGAGGAGATGGGCCCTGCTGGGCGGGACACAACCAATTACCTAGTCGATTCAGTCAACTGGTCCCACAGTGACTGGGCTAACCTCGGCACTGTTGCTTTTGTTCCTGATATCTGCTCTGTTTCACATCAGGCTCAGAGGTCTGTGTGATATCAGGGGAGGAAATGATCACTGCAGAAAAGACAGCGTACAATATATCTCTGCTTAACTTATGGCTATTAGTTTTCTCTAGAAATGCACTGTAGCATTCTGAGATGAGTGCTACATACCTTACCAAAAAAGTAGTGTAGTCATCTCATGTAACTGTTCATGGTTTTCTAACTGTACTGAAACAGCAATATATACAATGTAATGAAAGAACACCAACACCTCTTCCTGACTTGGTCTTTGCTGATGTTTCTTCAGTTCAGGGTAAATCACCTGTACTAGAAACATCCATACACTCTTTTGGCATGGAGCCTGGAGATTACTACAACATATTCATATCAGAAGTGTCTGCCTATAACGTCATTAGAAAACACTTCTCAGCCAAATCTACAGCAGTGTTTCAAAGACAGACAAGATTGTTCAGTATCATCAAAGTTAGCCCCTGAAAATACACATATACATTATGTTGAAAAGATCAGATCTGTAAAAAAATATATATAGTGGGTTATTATATATTATGGACTTAAACTTCCCAAGAGTATTTTTTTTCAACATTTATTAAAGGGTGTCATTTTAAATACTCTACTTTTAAAAAGCAATTAAAACTAAATAGGGCTAATCAAAATGGAAACTCATCAAGAAAACTAATTGCCAGATCCGTTCATTAATAAATATATAATTAACTCCCTGTTTAGACTCCCTGTTTAGACTCCCTGAACAGACGCAGTAATTCTAAACACAGTTCAGAAAATAATCCCTGAAATAGAATCTCTTTGTTGCAGGACAGGAGATAATGAATTGTAATGCAATGATTATGGGCCCATGCTGTCATCCAACAACACTATTCCTGCATGTACATTAGAAAACCCAGGAGATTCAACTCTGCATCGCTGGTCAGGAAACATAAAAAAAAAAACTTACCGAAGTGGTAACAGTAACAGTAATGAAGGAGGGATATTCTGGCAGCTGATCACACAGAAAAGCAGTGTTTGATTAAACAGTGCTTGTAATATAAATGTTCATGGGAATATACATGTTCTGCAACAGACATTTGGGTAATATTAGTGGGTATAAATATAGGTTCGAAATCTGGCAAAACAGGAGAATGTGGCATCTCATCTTTTTATCTTGCACACAACAAAAAGTTAACTTTAGTAACTTCAAGGTTGTGGGATATTAACTAGCACTTACCGGATTAGACTACCAGCATTAATGTAAAAATAAATGAACAAGAAATCTTTCTCCTTCAAAGAATTTAAATACACCACTCTTCACACTATGGATGCAGCTTTGACTGGAAACATTGTCTCCTTAAAAGAGCTGAGGGTGTGTGTGATTGAATGTATTCACCCATTAGACGTAGCTGTGATGCACTCACTCTGCTGTATGCATCACTAACAGCTAACAGTCCCCTGCTGCTAGCAGGCTTTTAGATTGAGAGAGAGGCTTTACAGTTCTGCATTTTAATAGAGAACTTTGAATGGAGGGACGGGGTATGGGTTAGAGAAGGGGGGCGCAGGGAGCCAAAGGAAAGAGGCATCAAAATATTTTCAGAGGAAAATGAAGTAATGACAAAATACCCTCCCGGAGTGTGCCGAGCAGAGGGGGTTTCTCGGAAGGACTGCCTCGGCAAGAGTGAGGCTAATATGTCAAAAGCAAGTCTGTAGGCATACTGAGCGCTGTCATGTCTACAAGTGTGGGCCATTCAAAGGAAGGAGGAAAAGGTCCAAAAAGGAGTATTGAATGTCTAAATTGCTTTCTGATTCAGTGCCACAAAACATACCTCTGAAAAGGTTCAATTATAAGATATCAAGGCAAATCAGCTGCCCTTATGGCGGCTGTTCGCTCATCTCTCAATGAAGCCGGGTTAAGCAATTATCGTTTGATACGGTCTCTTATTCTCAAAGGAGACCTGGAGAGGCATCAATGTAATGCATCATTTCAAACATGTTGTGGACGTAGTCCTTAAAGTGAGTGGTCAGGCAAATGAATGCTTGAAAAAAGTGATAAAAAAAGAGAGTACAATCATTTATCCATGACAGAACAACGCTTTCATGAGCGGTGTCTGAGAACTGCTGACTGGTCCATGTCAACCAAGTGGCATTTCACCTGAAACAGAACATACCAATTCACATCATTTTTCTCAGGTCTGAAAGAAAATCTGACTGAAAGACGGTAACAAAATCAGCAGGTTCCACCGAATCCCTGAAGGCCTCGAATAAAATATTTAACTCACTAAGCCCACACAGAACATAACACCTGAAAACATCTGCCAAGGTGGAGGGAGTTAGCAACCCAGAAGTCTCACCACTGCCGATGAGGAAAAAGCTATCACAATTCCAGATTCTGACAACGGGGAAGTTAAAAAGGCATATTTTGTCATAAATAAAACATAGGAGTGCAGCATTTCAGCAAGCTCCCCCAACAAAAGGTCCCGAGAGAGAGATGGGATGCTGTTTGTGAACTCATGCTTTGCACAGTAAAAGGGGGCTATAGCACTGCGTCACCCTGATTCAAACTACAGTCCCACATCCAACCTCATTCAGCAAGGACTAGTCTCTTTAAAAATTCATTAATTTACAGCAAAAATAGATTAAAACACCCAACTGCACCAACCTAGAAAGTTTGGCTTGTGAATAGCATTAATAATAGAAGCAAGCATCCAAAACCTAGAGGCCCTGACTCCGAGGCACGGCTTAGGTTTTGTTGCGCTTTGTAATGGAGGATAATTTACATTTTTTAGAAGTATTACATCTTTTTGATGCTTGTTTATAATTACTTTGTTTTACATGCAAATTGGCTAACAATTGTTACTCATTAAAACATAGCCAGTAGACTGCAACAACGCTCTCAGCATGTGTAAAACAGGCTTTACTTCAAGCTCACAAGGAAAGATTTGCACTGAACTCTTCAACCCAAATGACAGGCCCTTAAAAGTGATCATCCCCTATCTTTTACATCTTGCTCTTTTAAATCATAACTATGCTTTCCTAACAGAATCAAAGAGGGTTTTGACAAGATAAAAGGATTTGCTGCATTTTAATTCAAATTATGTGTACTTTCTTGGGGACAAGACAAAAATCCTAGTGACTGGGAGCACTCAGGGAACTTAGAGGTACTTGAAAAGAGAGGAAAGCTGCTCTAATGCATTTTCGTTCACCTTCCCTGCTCAGTGACAGGCGAGTTTTCTATAGTACAGTACACAGCCTATATGGAACAGCTGAATTTATATTGTGTACCCATATATGAGTCTGAGGGTTTTCCACATCCCCTCTGTTAATTACTTCTAATATTAGATCATTTCTATAGCGACTCTTTCTAAGTGGTGACTTAAATAGCTAATTATTGATATGACCTGCACTAATTAAAATGACCCGATGACCTTGTAACATTGTAGTGGCCTCATAATTAAAGAGGCAGATTGGAGGGTTTCTAGCTGATGCAAATGAGCCATCTTCCTGCCAAGCTACTTTCAAGCAAGGCGATGTACCCACAGCTGCTATAGCAGAACTATTCATGATAAAGAATAGGAGACGGCTCCCACGCATCAGTCTGTACAACTGAAGAGCGTGGGTGTCAGTGTTTGCTAACAGCATATTTTTACTTAGTATGTTGTCACTAAGTAAACAAATCATTCCAAGGTTAAACTGTATAATGACGGCAATATAAAAGGTCAGTCTTTAGTCTGACTGTTTACAGGGTTCGATGCTGCTGATAAGACATCAATCAACTTCTACAGAGCGTGTCAACTTAAGAGCTGCAAAAAAAAAGACTTAAAACATTTAAATAACACATGCTAAGATGAATCATCCTGGGTTCTTCAATAAAATTAACTTGTTGAGAACAGTGCACACACACCAGGATGCTGAGTGTTTCAGTTCAGCATGTACTTAAACACACTACAACACACAATACCTGCTTGACAAACATATTTTGTCGCAATTTGTGATTAGATCTGTTTTACTTCCATCACGTTTTAACTGGGTAGCAAATCATTCTTGGCAGATTCTGAGAAGAACTGACTGGCTGTCACTTATGAAGTCACACAAAAAGAATATATTACAAGTCATAATGAACATACAGGGAGACAACATTAAATCTTAAAAGCCATGTTGATTCATATAGCGGCATATGCAGTTCATCATTATCAAAGCAACTGAAACACATATAGTCTATCCACAAATAGCCCTTAATTCAACTTTCAAAAAGTCATTACTCCACTCATTTCTTAGCACTGCATTTGCTGACACTGACGATAATTACAACGACCTTTCCGATGATAAAACACAAATCAGTAAAACATTATGAGGGTTCCTTCTCTTCGCGTTTCATGCAATTCTGCATAACGTTTTAATGAGGCATTTAGGGTTCTATGAGTGATCTACTGAGAAAGTCTACAATGGCAATCAGCAGTGAGTGTGGCAGCTGTTCAGCAATTAAAAAGCCAAATTACCCTCAATCAACACCATTTACAAGCTCAAGTAAATCTCAGGGCAAATAATGATGAGAGAAATCTGTTCAGACAGCTCTCATCTTGATAGGAATTACAGGCACATTGAAATCAGAAGCAGGGTACTCTCTCAAGCGCTTTCTCAGTCTGTTCCACACAAATACACTTACACCGCCCCTTGTCTGTGTGTTTTCGAAAGAGATGAAACGGTATAGTTTTGGCCAGCTCTCCACACTGAAGCATGATGATGAAAGAAACTGACTCCTTGACAGTATAAGATGGTCATCATCCATGGTAAGGGCATAGTCTCTTTTTGAAAAGAGGCTACACTGGTCCATTTGAAGCACCCTATGAAAAAAAAATCCATAGCGTGTGAGCATAACTGCACCATCCACAAACTCAGATAGTGTAAATAAGAGTGACCTGCATGCACAGTTGAAAGAAGGCAGGTATAGAAAGTTACACTTCTTCTGTCTGCAGTGGTTTAAACTGTTTTCACCTAATTTACCTGGAAAACGATGTCACTGTAGCGCTATCAGCATTTAATCTAAACGTCAGTTCTGGAAATTATATCAACAAAATGTTAAAACTAGTGTGTATGATGCAGATCAGAAGTCATTATACTCACCTTGATAAACTGTCCTAAAATAGACACAAGCAGTAACTGAAAGAAGAAACTGTCATTAACACCATGAATAAATACACTGCCATAGTGTTAATGATACATATATTTAAATGTTTTATGACATTAAAGAAAGTTGTTTAATTCTTATGAATCCCCTGAAGCAAAATATTCCAGGTGAGCTGACTTCTTATTCCTGTTAGTCCACTTTTCCTTACAACAGTCTAGTTTACTGGAAAACAAACACAAAAAAAAGCATTTTAAAAAAACTTTGTGACTCCGCCACTTGAAATAACATTTTGCCTGTCTTGTACGTTGCTTCTAGCGGGGACACATCACTGTGGACTTGCCTGAGTTTGGTTTGTGGTTCAGACGGGATAAGCTTCCACCGTCGCCACTTTCAAAGTGTATGCAGCTGTGCAACGCACTATCTTCTGTTCGTGCATATTTGCGTGTCCAAAACAATTCGCCACTTGGAGAACGGTTTTATGAAGCACCCCTTTGCTCACAGCCTATGACCAGGCAGCCCACGGTCTGAACGGTCCCATGGGACTATAATTGTAAAGTTACAGAAGTTGACTTTATGTATGGAGCATCTGGGAAAAAGACCGTCTGCAGTCATGTAGCCTGCGCTGTGACGGGCAGTCAACTTGTCATAGCCTGCCATTCGGTACAACCACTGGCTCTCAGCAGCATTCCCGGCAAATCGTTATCTGCTACAAATCTCCATGACTGACATTTAAAAATTCTTCTGCACAGACTACTCACCGTGGTAAACGAATAGGAACCGGCTCGATTTGTGGTACTCTGGTTCAGGAGCTCCAGACGCCTATTCTGCACTTGAAAAATCCAGTCGAAGACAAAAGCTCCAGCGGTGCCCTTACGCTGTCACTTGGTCTGCGTGCACGTTGCTCTGCAGGCGTCAAACTGACCGCTGCTGTGGTCGTTTGACAGTCATGACAGCCGGGCTCGACCCGCTATTCGCATTTGCGCTCACAACACGAAGATCCCGGGTCTCTCGGTGCTCCGCTCGGCTGCTACACCACCGGAACTACTTCCAACGGCAGCCGGAGCACGTTGAAGATAAATTCATGCACCACAATAGGAAAAATGAAATCACAACCATTCAACTAGTTCCCAATTTTAATACTAATGAGATTCGACAGCGACACGATACAAGGCTGTCATAATTAGAATACACATAAATGCCCAGTAATAATAATAATAATATTTTTCATCAGTTATGTCATGTTTTGTCTAAGTGAATATCTCGAAGTATGATGGACCCCAATCATTAGGCTACTCGTGTTATCATTACATATTATTAGAACACTGCAGGGACTTTGTTTTATTAAAGGGAGAAAACTGTAGAAACCCGTGTGTGTGACAACTAGACACCGAAAACGCAGAATTATTGAAGCATGTTTTCAACACTGCTCAAAGTGCAACATAACGTTTGCTACACAATAGTGGCATTTATTTGCACCTAATATTAGATGCAATTCCGTTATACAAACCAACTGAAGATGCCTTAGACTCTGCTGTAGTTAAGGAAGGCCTACTCCTCACTTAGGCTGCTTGCCTGTAATTTGATGATTAAATGCAGGAGGAAGCCTGATGTGAGGGCACAGCGCCCCCACCTGGACACGACGGAAGTCAGAGCACTTTTTTGAGGCAGAGGATTTCCAGCCAGAGGTGCAATCATTTGTCTGCCACTTTTAACTACTCTCAAGAAGGTGTATTTCCATGTACTACGGTCTCACATTAAACTACTCTTTCCACAATGCTGACTGTGATGATGTTTCAGCTATTTAGGCTGAAGAACACAGTTTTCCTTTATTTTGCAAATGATTGCTCAAATTAAAAATTCAGGCATCTAATGCTAAAACATGAGTTGTTGCATTTTGCTTATCATGTAACCACAACACACAAACAACACACACAGCATCATATACCCTTATTCAGTTCTGGACTGAGATTATCAACCACCAAATTTACATATGTAAGCTACACAACTCACTTCTGAGGATTAACAGTACAATTAACAAAAGCATCTTTTGGAAACTATAGCTGCTGCAGTATCGCTGTACGCAACAGCTTTATACATTACAGGCCACTTCTCTGTGTTGTTGAGTAACTGGAAGTAACTCAGTTGAGTGAGAAAAAAAGAAATGATGGTGGCACAAGTCAGGTTGAAATTCTATGCAGACACAGTAGGTCTCTGTACACCCCCTCAACACTTATTATAGATTTATAACTCTTTACTGTGGTGTTAGCAAACAGCTACAGTGACTCCATAATCCCATCACAAACCCAGTGGTGGAAGCAGTAGTCAAAGTAAAAGTCCTGCATTCAAAATGTTATTTAAGTAAAAGTAAAAGTAAGCAGCTACTAAGAGAGAGGAACACTGCCTTCAGGGCAGGCGACAGGGCTCTCTACAGCGCGACCCAAGCTAACCTGAAGAGAGGCATCAGAACGGTCAAACTGGACTACAGGAGGAGGCTCGGACACCACCTGAACAGCAATATCTGCAGGCAGGTGTGGCAGGGAGTCCAGCATCTTACCAACAACAGGAATAATCTCAGTGCAGCTGAAGGTGATGCCTTGCTGCCAGAGGAAGAATCTCTGTTTTTGCCCGCTTTGAGGGGCAGCAACCAGACACAGCCAAACTTCACCCTGTGGCCCACAGCAGCCCCACCCTCACAGTAGGGGAACATGAGCTGAGGTGCACGCTGCGGGCCGTAAACTCGAGGAAGGCTGCTGGACCAGTCGGCGTCCCTGGACGTGTGCTGAAGGACTGTGCGGACCAGCTGGCTGGAGTCTTCACCAGGATCTTCAACCAGTCTCTGGCCCAGTCCACTATCCCACCCTGCCTGAAGTCCTCCATCCTAGTTCCCCTGCCTAAGAAACCCAACATAACCAGCCTCAATGACTGTCGGCCAGTTGCACTCACTCCAGTGGTGATGAGGTATTTTGAGAAACTGGTAAAGGAACACATTATGTCATTCCTCTCACCTACATCTGACCCACACCAGTTTGCATACAGGGCAAATAGATCCAGAGAGGATGCTATAGCCACAGCCCTCCATGCTGTGCTGTCCCACTTGAAGCATCAGGAGAGCTATGCACGGCTGCTCTTTGTGGATTATAACTCCGCATTCAACACCATCCTCCCCCACAAACTGGTGGACCTGGGAATTCCATATCCCACCTGCACATGGATTAAGAGCTTCCTGTCCAGATGCAGCCAGAGGGTGAGAGTGCGCCCACATGCACGTCAGGTAGACAGTTCAGATTAATCAAATGCAGGACCACTAGATTCAGGAATAGTTTTTACCCAACGGCAGTTACCACACTCAGTGCTGCTAAAATATATTATGCCTGTGTGTGTGAGGGGGGGTGTGAGAGGTCTGTTGTTTATTTCATTTTTTTTGTGGTTATGTTTTTTATGTTTTTATAGGGTTTTAATTCATATGTTATGTTTTTTTATTGCTGCACCGACGGGAGGTCACTCTAATATGTCGTTGTAGGTGTTAAAATGACAATAAAGGATTATCTTATCTTATCTTAAGAACTTTGAAATGCCTTATTGTTGATCTGTGATATTCAAACAAAGTTGCCTTGTCCAGCAAAACTGCTTAAGATTGTTTTTATGCTGGCAAGATGAGCAAGTGAAAAGAAGTGGAGATTCAGCGTGCAATGCAAAGAGCAGCACTGTTGTGGTCACATGATTTCCCTGTCTGAAAACCCTTCCCCTTCCCCTTCCCCTCAAAAATGTGTTTTGCTTACTTCACTTGACTGACCTTTGTGTCTTTGGAATGTGCACAGTTTGACACTGAAGGCTGTCTTCAAACTGTTTCTCTGCTTTCACCTTATATCTTGAGTTTATAACAAGCATGATTTTGTGACAACTAGTTTGCAAACCAATATTTATGGACCAGTATGTGTGATGTGGACATTTGACACCTCCAGTGTTTATATGCAACAAATGGCCTTTTCAGTAAATATCATGGGAGACATCAGATGTTCTACAGTCTAGATTAGTAGATGTAATTTGTGAATTTTTAACAAAGTTATTTAACTTTTTTTGTAGAAAAATAATAATGTTTTAAATTATTATTCGAAGAAGATTATTTTAAATTTAAATACATTTCTGATGAGTGCTCTCCTAACATAAGTTCTTCCCCAGTTTTTTTAACACTGCTACATTAAGCCAAACCTGGAATTGTGTGTTTTTGTATTTGAGCTTGTCACATGGATGCATTCCCACATAATGCTTCAGCCTTAGAAACAACGCAATGCAGCACTCATCTGGATGATGCAGGTACTTGCAATTGTTATTGAAACATTTGTCATATAATCTGTGGCTTTTCAAATCAGCAGTATACAGTCCTACATTTCTATTCATGAACCAAAAAAGATTTACAGTCTTTTATGTTACACTGAACAAAAATAGACCAAAATATTTTTTAAATAATAAATAAATGAATCAATGTAACGTTGTTGTATAACAACACTCTTGCAAAGGAAACACTGTAACAGCTGTAATCTTTGAATTTCTTCTATTCAACCTTTATAATATGCGAGCTCGCCACCAGAGGAGGCTCTAGCCTAAGACAATGTGTTGCCGTCGCCTTTTGACTGTACACTTACCTGTGGTTTGCCGTTATTTAATCACGTGTGTTTATTTCAAACAGTGGAAACTGGAATCTATGAGAAATCTCTGCTGATCCTATTAATTTACTTAATAATTGCCGCCTCCTTCTGTCTGTTCCATCATTGTAAAATGCGTCAGTGCTGTGTAGGTACGACCTCACTGCCAGCAACAGTAAAATGTGTGTTCACTTCCCGATGACTGTGTGAACAGCTGTTAGCTACTTCATCACACATTATTTTGTAAATCTAGTAGGGAACTGTCTGCGTATAGTAATTTACTTAAATGTTTATCAATCAGAGGCAGTCGAAGCATTATTGCTTCGTTTTTTACACGGAATTTAACACGGGCTACAGCAATTTCTCAGTGAAACTTTGGTGGCTTGTGTTGCGAACATAAATAACAAATAAGACAGGTCTTGCAGCAGACTGCGCGGTGTTTATGACGGGGAATGTGCCTGCATTCGGCGCCTTCCCCCTTCTTTGTGATGATTGTGCAGCATAGCTGGCTCTGCCCGGTTTGATCCTGATGGCTTTCGACGTTGCACTGCGTCAAGCTCATGGGATGGAAACACAAAAACCATACCCGGCTGTGTGCCACTTCTAAGGGTGGAACCCGGGCAAAAGACATATGAAAGATATCACTGAGGTTTTCATACTTCATTTTTAGGTTTTAAGGCATCGATCTCGCGTAGCCTATAACCGAACAGTATGAAACTAATGGACGTAGGGAGGAATAACATTTCATTTTATTGGCTGAGTAGCCGTGAAACCTATGTGGAAGGAAGCCTATAATTTAGTTTAAAATGATATGCTTAGTTGTGGCATGGAGGTTTTGCATTGAGGCTTTTGTTCAATGATGCTATAGGTAATTAAAGAACCAAATAAACTGACTTCACATTTGTCTCACTGACGTTTCATATGAGATCATGATCCGACCTCGCGAGAATATACAGAGCCTTGAGCAATTGATGAGAGTTTGAAATGCAACCAAGAAAGAAAGATAGACCTGGACCTCACTTTTATATATTTTATATTATTATTATTATTATTTTTAATTTGATAATAATACAACATAGAAATTATGCAGAAATAACGCCGTTTGGTATGTCCGCTATATGAGTTTGTTTTTATATTGACATAGCCTAAATGTTCTGTAACATTCTTGTAGAAGGAAAGTCAAATGATTTAGAGCATGTTTCCTTAACCGAGCTGCAGTGAGGATCATCAGCTGCTGTTTGACATCCATGGGTTAGCCCACTGTAACACCTCAGTGGGAATTTGAGCAATGTGCATCAAATCAGGTATATTAAATGGGTTGCAATTTCAAATTGTTATATCATCCATAAGCAGCTATGCATTTGGTTTTTTCTTGTACTAATAAAATAGTTGCATCAGTACTGCTCCTATGTTACTACTGCATATAAAGGACTATATGTCTTGCAATCATTACTTTATGTAACAAACATTTGGGCATTTTTTATGTGAAGAAGCTAATTCCAGTTATTGGCTATCAGGATCATCTTGAACGTGAACCATCTTACAAGAAGAAACACACATTTTACAGATTAGGACACTGGTTGAATCATTTTAGAAAGTTTATTACCTTATGGCACTAAGCTGTTAGACCGTCGGTTTTTGTAGTCAAACACCATAGACCTCCCCTCAAACAAAGCAAATAGGCTTTCAACACAAAGCAAATATTGGTAATACCAATATGTATTGTATATGTGAGAATCATGTTTGTAAGGCATTTGAGTTTGAATAAATAAGATAAAAGGTGAATAAGGTAAAAGTAAATGCTTTTCATATTTACTTTTTTAGTTGAGTTTTTTATTTTCTCTCCTTTCATGCTGCACTATCAACGTCAACAGATTTTGTTTATCCTGTTCCTTCTCTTCTATTCGGGGAATGATGTCTTGAAACTACAGTTCCCATAATGCTTTCGGCGGTAAACAGGAAATAGACTATGTTGCCATAGAATGATAGTTGTGCGTTTTTGATGTTTATTTGCAGTGGAGGAATAAGTACATTAACTGAAGTACTGTAGTTAAATACAACGTTGAGGTATTTGAGGTACTTGGGTGTTTCCATTTTCTGGTACTCCATTCTTTGACTTAGCCTATATGCTACATTTCAGAGGCAAATATTGTTCTTTTTACTCCACTACATTTATTTGATACCTCAAATTATCCTGCTAATTACTTTTCAGTATCAGAAAAACAATAGATACAAAATACAGTATAATCATAACATAAGACTTTTACTAATCTCCAGTGGAAATTTAACAAAAAATCAGTATGTATAACCTAATGTGATTTAAGGTAGGCTATAATTAGTAGTTATACTCCACTTTTATCAACTCTAAAAGCTCCAACAATATCATCAATACACAATAATGCATTAGAAGCCTAATTATAATCCAATAATACCCTATAATATAGCATGCATTGATGTGACGTGTGCTATTCTGCATATAGTTTTACCTTGGATAGGCCCACTTCAAGTATTTTTTGATGTTCTTTTGTACTTTCACTTAAGTAAAGGGCTTTTACTTGTAACATAGTATTTTCATACGGTGGTGTTTCATACGGTCATATTAAACATGGCGGCGGGTACGCACGCAGCGGCTCAGGGCTCTCGGCCTTTTGTTTTTTATTGGTGTTTTTGTTCGTGTTTTTGTGGTCACGACAGCTTTCTGAAGCCACCATCCAGTATTCTTGTGTTATTCATGTAAATAATGTGCCTTTTAAGCTGAGGGCGGCTGGAAGAAATTTCGTTGTGCTATGCATAATAATAAAGATTCTTGACTTGACTTTACTTTTATCTAAGTAAAGGATCCGAGTACTTATCCCACTGTATATCTTTTTAAAATTCTGGCAAATTAGCACCTTTAGGTAGGCTGAATTAGTTATTAGAAGTTAATGTTTGCAATATACCCACTGATATACAAATAATTACCGGATTACTTTAACCCTGAAGAAATCTTAAAACCTCACTTACTCTCAGGCAAATTCAGTGAATTTTATTCAAAGAGAATTTATGACCCTTATTCGTGATGTGCATTGGCGATAATGTAAGAAAGTCACGCTCATTATGAAAATATGGATATCATGACTGTGTGGTCAGATTTAGGTGAGTTACCACCACCCCCGGGAATATTCATGCAGTTCCGGATTCGCATGACCGGGGACGGAGAGGAAGGGAAGAAGTGGGTCACTTGCATATTTCCGCACCATAGTTGTGTTTTCCTTCTACTGAGTGACCACATACGTTTTTGGATAGCACAGCTAAACTGTAGTCTAAATACACGTTATTTGCAAAACAAACCCACAGTCTTTAGAATATGTTACAGAACGGAAGAAAAAAGGGAAAATGGGTGGTGTCTTTGGTGTGAGATGACCTTGTTTTATTTCCTGCCATTTCAGCATGGAGACAGCGCTGTCGGTATTCGCCAAACCTCCTCGCACCGTCTGGTCTGAACCGGTTCGGATTCTGCGCGGTCTCGTGCGCACTGCAGACCTCACGCACTGATTACAGCACTCCGCGCGCCCTTACCAGGCTCAACCCCTCTTCCGTTTACACCGCTCTCATTGGATATCATGTTCGCGGCTCGCCCACATTTTCCGCGTGTTGTTGGACGATGACAAAGCTTACGAGTCGTGATTGGTTCATGCCCCTCTAGTCCATGTATTTTGGGGCAGACCCCGTTTACTGTGCACGGGCTTGTGTAGAAGTGGAGTTGTAAACGAAGCGCGTGCACTTTTCAGCACCAATACCTCGTGGATAGCAGCCAGACGAAGCAAAAAGGATGGCCGTTGCCTACTAGCTTCCTTTATTGTATTAAACCGACGACTTTGCGGTTTGCGACGCCGTATAACCCCTGCGATCACAGAAAACTTTACGCATAGTTTTGAGACGACAAGTGGAAGATATTGGAAGGTGGAAGGTTTGTTTGCCCCGGCGGGCAAATTGTGCCAAGAGCTGCATCTTGGTTGAGAGAGGCAAGTTTCTGCGAGTAAAAATCGCGTTATTTTCGACTTTCGACGCATTTGCGCGTGTTGGCTTCACCTAGCTGCGCCCCGGGTGGACTAAGTGGATGCAAATGAAGGGAAGCAAAGGTGATAAAGACGATTATTTATCCTAGCCGGTTGAGCCGTGGTCCTCTTTTAGCCACATCACAGCCCGCTCGAACGGCTAGCCTCCGAGGTCTCCATTGTGTGAGCATCCACTGCCGCCTTAACAGCACCCCCGGATCCCGCGCTGCCACGACACATCTGCCGTCTCCCACAGATACAGCTGTGTGTTTTCAGCCAGATTTGTTTAACGTTAACGCACCAAAAATGTGTTCTCGGGTTTGGTTCATCACCGACCGACGCATCAGCCAGGAATATCCCCAAGTTCAGATCCTCCGGGCACTGAAGGAGCGCTGCACCGATGAGGATGTTGACTTCCGTTATCTTCTCATGGATCAAATTGTGCTTACGATCAGCGAGGGGCAACTAGGCAAGTATCACTCATTTAATCAATACAGTCGATGTCTGATCCCAATATATGATGTACGTTAATGATGCAGTGTAACTTGTATTATTTGAGACCAACAGCGCTCTATGCTGTCCACAAAGCTAATAGCAGGCGATTATTGTTTGGGGGGCTACACTGCCGTAAAGCAAGCAGAGGGCTAGCCTGGTTTCTCTGCTAGCAAGGAAGCCAAGTGTAAGCACGGCCGTGACCGCCTAACCCACTTTTGAGCTTGACTGCCTCTAGAGTGAGAGGAGCGGTGCTACTTGATCTAATCTCTGAATGCACTGCGGTTCTAACGGTGTGATGGATGGGAAGGTAAAGCATCGACGAAACAGGAACATAGCCACAATATTACAGAAGCGCAGTGATAAAAGCATTTGTATTTCCCCAGTAAAATTAAACTGCAATTAACTGAACGACGCGTCGCTTTGATATTCTCCCACGTGTTAACCTGGGGTTTTCATGTGGAAGCCTGGCGCCCAGGCAAATTTCCTTTCGAAAAAGCTCAGAGGAAATACACACGCACGTGAACATGTTTTACATACAGACAGGGTAGCAAGTAGAGTAGTCGGGCTTGAATAGATGTTTGCTGTATAACTATTTGGATTTGATTTACATCCGATTGAACCAGCAGACAAAGTGATATCCTAAAATGGATTGTATTGGTCAACTAGAAGCATTTCAATGAGGCAACCAGACTCAGCACATATTTCACCAGTGTAACCATAACTAGGATAGTGTTTATAGATTACAAAAATGGCGCACTTGTGTTCAAAAACAAATCATTTAACCATGTTAAGCTGTTCCAGGGTTTCTGTATAGGTTGCCTTTTCTATGTTACCTACTTTATGCAGTGACGGCACATCCTCACTGATTTTGTCTTTGTTTGCTGCCATTTTTGTAGTTGGTTTTTCTAGAACAACTTATTTGTGTTCTGTTTGCTGTTACTGTATATCAACATTTCACAGTATTGAGTTTGCGAGGCCTTGGTAAAGTGATGTAACAGCAGGAACACCAAACAAACATACACACATGGAATTCATCAGGATGATGTAGAGTGTACAAGTCTCAGTGAACACATAAGCAATGTACTCTGGCAATGGCAGAGGCTGAAGAGTAAAAATAGGATAAGGATGAGACTGGACATCACATCCTTTGCAGACTACATGCCATTTTATTTGGTCTACTGTAGAGCTCAGTCATTAAAGCTTTAGACTCAACACGGTGTTTCAAATACAAACAATGAAATTTTAAAATGGAAGGCATTGCATTTAAGAAATTTTCTGTATTTCACATGCTGTAGTACAGCCAAAAGAATATTTGTAAATGTAAACACACTACAATAATATCTCATGGCTAAATCAATTGCATTAAGGCTCTTTTGTCATTTCTAGTTACAATAAATAAATAAATAATGATTAGCATCATATATGGCTAGAAAGATAAGATGTTGGACTTTAATTTTATAGCATTACATTAAGTGAAACCATTGCACAAGCATTTATATTTGTAGTTAAATTTTAACAGAATGTTAGTTGAAGAGCCCATAGTATGCTCATTTTGCTCATTTCCAGCCATTTAATGTTTAATCTTGGGTACCTTTAGATTGTCTTGGCACCCATCATAACTCCAAATAGTAATTATTTCAGAATGAAAAAAACCAGAAAGCCTAAAAATGAGAGGATAGTTCATGAATGCGCACACCTGCTGTTGTTGTGTTGCAAGTGGACAGCACAATGACCTGCAATAGCATTAATTAATTTGAATTTCTCCGCCATAGTTAGATAAACAACGGTATATGTACCGATGAAAAGATATGTAACTTTCTAAACAAAGCAGATAATTGAGATACTCCATATTTTAACTGGCATAATGCAGACATAGTAACTTCTCCAGCCTTACAACAATTCTTTCTAACATTACAGAAACAGCACATTAAGAGACATGCAACGTGTGTGTTTTTTTTTTTAAACTTTCCATTAAGTCCCACAAGGTAGTGGAAACATCCCTCCCTTTCTAGTAGCTCCAAGGTCAGTAAATCCAACCAGTGATCGCTGTGTCTTCCCCTATATGACCACATACAGTCCCAAAGCGGTGAAACTAATTCCAACATGTAGCGTAGCACCGACAATAACATCATGGATCGTTAATCCTCTCTTTAACCGGCAACACATCACATGTCAGACACATTGCACTTTTACCACATTTTTTTAGTTTTAGGTCACAGATGATAATTCACTGTTGTAACATTGCAGAAAAAAGGAAAAGCATGCCCTGGGCTCTTTAAGTGGTATTTCACCATCATGGGATCAATAATGCCCTTGTCGTCACTAACCACTTCTTTAAGTGCTTAGTTATTCACCTGTCCGTTATCTTGAGTGTATTTTCAGTAGGGGTGTGATGAGATCTTGTGCTACGAGATCTCGCGATATTAAAATGACATTATTTTTCCTAGAGACAAAAGCTGTCTCACAATATCATTACATAACAGAACTAGACCAGTATAACAGACTGTGACACTACGTTAACATTAGTCTGGTCCCTGCTGTGTTATAACACATGGGGTTAGTTGGTCGGTGGGTGAGCGGTGTGCAAAGGGAGTGCTGTAGGCATGTATAATATTGCCACGTTGTGAAGAGTCGTGAGAGTCTTCATTCACGTTTCCAGGCTACGAGTTTCCATTGTGTTTTAGTTATCCATGCTGCTAAAGTAGCCTATTCTACTTTAGCACCAATTCTACAACCAGTGTGTCCACAATGATAGATTTAAAAAAAAAAACACAGTTTAATATCCAGTACCAAAGGCATAGCGTTAATTGTGGCCATGATTCGACAGTGAATAGCAATGAATGCTCATGCTAACAAAGTAAACAAAAGTGTCTTCTTCCCATGGATGTCCACATCCCTATTCTCCCTAAGTGATTGGTCAATGCAGAGCCTTTGCCGGATGGTGTCATCATCCAGTGCGGTGCAGTGAGGGTCAAAATAGTATACAAGGTCACACACAGCTTCAGTTAGAAGTTAGAAGCCCATGCATAGTTCATGCACAGTTATAAAGTCTGAGGAGACTCATGAAATCATATAGGAGAGAAGCCAGTCAGTTGAGTTTGTGGCAGAACCTTTTACATATATATACATGTATATTGTTGTCTTTTATTGCTTACAATTCATACTCAGAAAGTAGACCTGAAGTGACATTCATTACAAGATGATTAGTTAAAACATTTCAAATTGCACCTGCATTGTTTTGTATTATGTGACTTTCAGTCGAATAAAAGACTATTTTTCCAGTCATATATTTTGCTTTTGAAGATTTCTTAAAAGTAGTGTTAAAATATCATCTCATCTTGTTCTCATAAACCCAATATTATGTATCGTCACACCCCTAATTTTCAGTGGAAAAAATAAACATTTCACATTCACACATCACTTTTTAATTAAACAAACTAATTCAGAAATTAATTTACAAAAAAAAAACAATATTTGGAGAATGTAGTAGAAAAACATTTTTACCGAAAATGAATACATGGCATTTCAATAAAAATCATATGGAAAACAGATGAATAAATTTGACTCAGATACCAGAACTGGCTCAAAGATGAGCTTTCCACAAATAGTAAAGCAAAAAAAAAACCTAAACCAAAAAAGTTCTTGCAGAAATAGTGTTTTTTACAGTAGGTCAGAATATAGTCACATCTCAAAACAGGTAACAAACTTACAGTTTGTCATTCTCTTGGCTCATTTGTGTTTCCCCACTCAGGTTGACAGGGCTCCAGACTAACATTTCATACTGATGGCACTGGTGCCACCAAGTCTCTCAGAGGGTGGCATCAATCCCAAATTTGGTGTCACCACCTCTGTTTTGCAAAATAATGCAGGAAACTGTATTTATTGTAAATTATTTTAAATAATTACCACCCAATGTGCATGCCCTCTATTTTATAATAAGATTCAGAGAGAGAGAGACTTATGCAACACAATAAATGGGGAAAATCACTTCAGGAACAGGTTTCCACCATTTTTTATGTATAATCATTTTAGTGCTCAATCGCCTAGCAGTCAACATGATGATAATGATGACACTGATGATGATTAGGCTATTATATTACAAGAGAAGTATGAATTCCGCATATGCTTTACTATTTGTGATTTATCCTATTTGCTGCCCACTTTCTTCTGAAGAAGAATTCCTGCTTTTTGGCGAAGCCTACTTCATGCACAGTTCAGCTCTCTCACCCGCCTGGCTAGTGCCAGCCCAGTCTTCATGTAGGCTCATCAGCAAGAAATCAGCAACATATATGTATGGATTTATTAATTTTAGTACACTGAAGCATTTCTGTTGTCACTGTCTGTCTGGGGTTTCCTCCAAACACCGGATTTTTTTTTCTTGTTCTCCCAAAATAGCAGTTCATGGCCTCCCTTGAACTACTGGTCTTGTTTTCTGAACTGCTCTCACCGTATCTTCCTCTGCTTCCCTAAATGTCTCTCTGCTACCTGTATTTTCCCCCCACCATTACCTGAAACCACGGCACTCCTCCAAGGATGGTAGACCGTCAGATGGTCTACCACAGACACCATCTTACCTGTCACACTGTTGTGGTCATCTTTCTGGTCAGGCTTGTCTCTGATCAAGACTTGAGCAGCGCTGGGCCTGGTCAGTACCTGAATGGGAGACTGCCTGAGAATGCCAGGTGCTGGAGGTTTGAGCCTCCTCTGCTGGGTGACCTATATACTTACTCATCTGATTTGTTTCACTTGTGTTCTTCGCTGTGTTTTTATATTAAAACCTTTAAACTTACTATTCTGATTTGTGTCATGCCTTTGGGTCCACCGCTCAAGCCCATATCTGACACTGTAAGTCTCCGATTTGTGAGACGGGCAGGTGACAAATGTGCAAATAAACAATGCGATGACAGTGTTGTGTGACATCCGTCCACCATGTTTAAAGTCAGAGCAGCGACCCCCGGAGCAATCTTTGGAAAAAATTCAGTTGCACCTTAAACAAACTGTCACACAACACCTTAAACAAACTCGCATCTTAAACATTCACACATGGTGACAAATGTGCAAATAAACAATGCGATGACAGTGTTGTGTGACATCCGTCCACCATGTTTAAAGTCAGAGCAGCGACCCCCGGAGCAATCTTTGGAAAAAATTCAGTTGCACCTTAAACAAACTGTCACACAACACCTTAAACAAACTCGCATCTTAAACATTCACATATGGTGACAAATGTGCAAATAAACAATGCGATGACAGTGTTGTGTGACATCCGTCCACCATGTTTAAAGTCAGAGCAGCGACCCCCGGAGCAATCTTTGGAAAAAATTCAGTTGCTCCTTAAACAAACTGTCACATCTTAAACAGTCACACCTTAAACAAACTCGCATCTTAAACATTCACACCTTAAATGACTGGTTACTTGCAGTCTGGAGCCCTGGGTTGAAGTACATGTTTCACACTGAAGTCAGTGGGTTCACTGTGTCCCGAGAAGAGGAGATGAATACACACATACACCAATATGTTTTAATGAGCAATGACAGCCTCTCACATAGGACAGCCAAACCCAGCTTTCAGCTAGCTGGAGGCATTTCACATCCCATGGCTTGTGCTGCTAGTTGTTTCAACAGAGACTGGCTATGATTTCATGTCACAGTCCTTTGAGCATGCCTGTGGACACACTCTTACCCAAAAGAAAAGTGTAATATTCCCATGTCAGTGAATGGGAAGATGATCTACACACACGTATCTGTTATTTTACAGATGGTTAAAAAGTTCATGCTATAAATTAGGGAGATTTTGATGAGTCTGCCCAAGTCTTCTTGTTATCCCACACGTTAGGATCTTTGTTGCAAATTAACAGTTGCAGTTTTATAAGTGCTTAGCAAATATATGTTGCAACATATGCATTTTGAAGAGAGTGTACTTTTTTGTTTAACTTGTCAGTACTTCTAGAAAAAAATTCTTGTAAAGTAACCAGCAGTATCTCATTTGCAAGGTTTACACATGCAGCCTGGAACATGTATATTTGCATTTTATTGGTACTGCCAAAAAGTCTCGCAATACTTGCTTTTACTCTAAACAGGAAAAAAAGCCTGCACAGAAAACATGTATGTTACCACATAATATCCGTCCATTATCTATACTGCTTATTCCTGACCAGGGTTGCGGGGGGCTCTAGAGTCTATCACAGCTGACATTGGGCAAGAGGGGGGTCCACCCTGGACAGGTCACCCGTCTGTCACAAGGCTGATGTTTAGAAACAGACAAGCACACACACTCACACTCACTCCTACAGTCAACCAGACAAACACCAGCAAAATTAAAACATTATGGGTGGTCACCAAGGTAAGAAAGTCCCGTGTTTTGTAACTATAAACAGGTCACACCTGTGCTAAATTTAGACATTATCTAACAAAACCTTTTGTTGCCTTTGTTATACCCCAATATAGTCAAATAGGGCTTCTGAATGTTTTTGTGATGGTCACGTGACAGACAGCGCAGTGCACATGAACACTTGTGCAGATGAATAGGATTAATTCATCTGACTGCATCACTGGCCTCTCTTTGGTTCCCCTGGAGATGTGACGAGTACTGTGAACAGTGAATATTGTCCATCAGAAGCCATGACACTACATCCCCTGACACTTCCCACTGTAATAGCACTCACAGTGCTCTCAGTGGCTGCACAATCAGGGTAGTGTGAGAGTGCTGAATAGGGCTGAAAAGGCAGTGAATCCCAGCTTCTACACGGAGACTGAGAAGACAGGGGAGAAAAAAGGAGGGGTGGCAGGCTTTTCATGGCTTCATACTCCTTTTATTCATGCGTCTCCATTTCTCACTCCCCTCCCCTCCAATCCTCCATGCTAAGGCTACCACATATCCCTGACCTTTTCTGATTGCTGGCATTATTTTGTTACCCTTTCTACCTGTGCGTGTATGCTGAACACACCCGCAGTGTGTGAGAGATGCACATAGTGCAGGCGTGATGCACAGTGCCTCTGTGCGTTACAATTTCTGTTGTTATGTATGCAGCAACCATCAAGCTTTTTGTGACCTCTGCTGATCTCAGCCAGTGGTGCTGTCGTTACTGAGCCTGCTGATTCTAAGATGGCTGAAATTCAGGTCAAGGTAGAGGACAAGTGCTGTGCCAGTGACAAATGTGTCTCTTCTCCTCTTCCCATACATAATGTACAGTATATGTGTACTCACACATACACATGGAGGTTTTGTTGTCAGCCAGTCTGTTCATTCTGATGAGCTGCATTGCCTGCTCAGCCAGGGTGACAAAGTAACACCAGTCACCGAAAAATGCTGCCAAATTTGGCATTGGCTAGTGACTATGCCATCTGTAAGCCAGTATCCTGCCATTTCAAAATCTTATTCTGTTCTGTAGAGGCGGGTTGCTGTTGATAGAGACTGGAGGTGGGTTAATGAATGCTGAAATGTGTAGCTAATGTGACAATCACTAATAGCACAGATTTTGCTTTGTGACAGAATCAAAAGTTCTGACTTAATTTAAGGAACAATGAATAATGTTTTCAGTCCTAATGTAATCTAAACAAATATTTAGTATAGTGTACAGTTGTAGTATTTGACTGTATTTTTCTCTGTTTGTGTTAATGTGTGATTAAATTCAAGTTGCACATCCTTTTGGATTTCAGACATTTCTCCCTACCCCACTGCCCTACATTGAGGCAAAGCAGTGTATAGCTTAAGTACGTCAGCAGGGATATCTCTTCTGCAGTCAGAGAGGAAGATAGTATTAGCCCAGAAGGAAGAGGAGCTGGAAGCACTGCAGCGGAGTACAATATAGGGATACGGCCAGCATGTAAATAATTGTATTAGCAGGCAAAGCATGTTCCAAAATCATGGCTTAACGCCACAGGCCTCAGAGCTGGCTGCCTCTGCCTGGTGCTGTAACTTGGCCAGCTCCCAGTCAGAGCTGTCTCCATAAAGAGGAGTAAGCTTTTCTGCAAGTAGATAATGGATTCCAAAACTCACCAAACACGTTCAGAATGTTTCCAACTACTGTAAATTTGACTTGGGATGTGATTGGAGCTATAAGCAGTGACTGGCAACTCACGAAGACAGGCCACTTATTGGCTGATGAGTCTGGTTCTGTGAATGTCAGAAACAGATTATGAGTAACATCTCTGTCTAGTGGCTCGTAATTGTATTTAATGCCTTGGAGAGCTTGACTATGAGAGGCTCAGGTCCAAAGTTTTTTATTGCTAACAGTCATCTCTTTTTTTCATCCTCCAATCCCTCTGTTCGCCCACCATTATCCAGGTCTGCGAGTGGAGCAGGAAATGGTGACATCTTATCCACAGGTGGTGTTGGTGCGGGTGCCCACCCCCTGGGTGCAGTCAGATAGTGACATCACTGTGCTGCGCCACCTGGAGAAGATGGGCTGTCGGCTGATCAACCGGCCCCAGGCCATACTGAACTGTGTCAACAAGTTCTGGACCTTCCAGGAGCTGGCAGGCCACGGGGTGCCTCTTCCTGACACCTTCTCCTATGGTAAATCTTTTTCACAGGGCTGATGTGTTGTGGTAGCACTGAGCTGTTGACTGAAGCAGTGCTCTTCTCCGTGACTTTAATCAGCAAGTCAGATGGTGAATGTGTGATGCAACTAATGCTTGCTTGTTAACCTGTAATCCATGTACTGCTCATACTCCATTACTTTGTATGTAGAGCTCCTGGGGCTCCATGTAGACTGTATTTCCTGATCAGAGTACATAACAGAAATATTTCACACAGATGCCAGACAAACAAACTCAGACACCCAGCTCTAATCTTATCTCAGCACAACTGTTGAACCTTTGTTTATCAGTGTCATTATATATTGTTTCCTCCTTGCTTAGTGTTTATTAAGCACTTGCTGCTTAGGTCAGTTATGGGATACAGATGTAGATAATGTTTATAAGTACATCAAATTATAAGGGAATATTACTACAAAATCTACAGCCAAATGAATATTTGCATAAAACCAGCACTGCTGTGTCAAGAATATGTCATTTGACCTTTCAGTCACATTAGTTGCATCACAGGCTGTATTCCACAGATTAATAAGCCATCAGTCATACAGTCACTCTCCTCAACAATTACTCAACCACCAAACCACTGATAATTTACAGAATTTCTCTAACACCAGTGGATTTTACCTGTGGTTAAGAAAGGTAGGATATGTAGGGATACAGCCCTCACAACACAGGCCAGACTGCAGGGTGACAATCAACACCACACATTTCTTTCTGTTTTACAAAAATCCATAGTGCTCTGGTGTCTGAGAGAAGCAGGAAGAGAAGTTATGGACAGAGAAAGAAGGAGAGGGGAGGGGGGCTGTTGCTCTACATTCCATTTGTCTCTGCACAGTAGGCCAGGCAATGCCTGCAAAGTGGCTGGAGAGCTTACGTAACAACTCACCCCACCCCCAATTCACCAGCCCATACCCCTTCATGAATTTCAAAATAAAAGATGCCATTTCCTCCTCCTTGCTTTAACCCTCAGCAGCTTATGACGTGGTTGGACTTACATATAGTGTCCAGTCTCTCTCTCTTTCACTCCTTGTTTCTCCCTCCTCTCAATGAAAACGTATGTGAATCAGTGGATCTGGAAAAAGCCATGCGACAGGATAGTTCACATCTGTTCCCTTGACCAAATGCAAGATAAGACCAGACAGGCAAACAAAGATGGAGATGGAAAGAGAGAGGAGAAAGAAGTTGTTACTACCTACACACCCTTTGTAGTTGTTACTAACTACAAAAGCTGAAGCACATCTGTCATTATGAATCAGTGTCAGATATGGCCAGCTCTTCACAGTAATGTATGCTTCAGAGACTGCTCTGCTCTGTTCCAGTCAAGCAGCAAAAGAAGTATAAGCTTAGGACAACACTCCCACAGTCTTTCTGTTTTGGTCAGTTGTGTTTCCATAGCGATGGGCTGCATGCCTTCCCTCATCATATTTGATTGGCTGTAATGTGTGAACCATGCTATCAGAACTGGCCATTTTTAATATATTTTACACCTCTGTGTGTGTGTGTGTGTGTGTGTGTGTGTGTGTGTGTGTGTGTGTGTGTGTGTGTGTGTGTGTGTGTGTGTGTGTGTGCATTGAATTTGCCAGGAGGGCATGACAACTTTCGTAAAATGATTGATGAGGCAGAGCCGCTGGGCTACCCTGTAGTGGTGAAGAATGCACGTGGCCACAGAGGTAAGATGATCAGTTGATTTCTTCCTGTTACCAGCTATATTTGCTGCCCCACACCTTAAAAGATCTTTAGCCTACAGGGCTGTAATCAGAATCAGCTTTATTGGCCAGGTGTGTCGGACACACGAGGATTTGACTCTGGTACAGTGGCTCTCAATTTGCATGTACATATCCCCATGCAAGGCAACAACAAGTAAAGTAACAACAGTAAACCAACATAAGGCTGTGCAGTATAACAAAATAAACATTATTACCAAGCAATAAACAGTGCAAACAATGCAAAATAAAGAGGCAGTCAACAATGCAGACAGAGAAAGGAATGCTCATTGTGAAACGAGATAAATAGGAATAAAAATAGAGACCTCTACGGATCTGTATAATCTGTACAATGTATACTTACAGGTATTGCACTGAGGGTTATTGTCCAGTCATACTGTCGTGGGTCAAGTGTTCATCAGAGTGATGGCCCGGGGGAAGAAACTGTCCCTGTGCCTGGTTGTCTTGGTGCACAGTGACCTGTAATGCCATCCAGAGGGGAGGAGTTCGAACAGATTGTGTGCCAGGTGTGAGGGGTCTGCAGTGATCCTCTCCACCTTCCTTTTGACCTGTGAGGTGTACAGGTCCTCCATGGAGGACAGGCTCACACCAATGACCTTTTCTGCAGTCCTGACTGTTTGCTGAAGTCTGTACTTGTCCTGTTTGGTTGCTGAGCCAAACCAGACAGTGATGGAGGTGCAGAGAAACAGACTCGATGATTCCTCTGTAGAACCGTATCAGCAGCTCCTGGGGCAGGTTGAACTTCCTGAGCTGGCGCAGGAAGTACATCCTCTGCTGCGCGTTTTTGATGATGGTCCTGATGTTGGACGTCCACTTCATGTCCTGGGAAATAGTGGAGCCCAGGAACTTGTAGGACTTTACTGCTGATACAGTGCTGCCAAATATGGTGAGAGGGGGTAAGGTGGTGGGATTCTTTCTGAAGTCCACTGTCATCTCCACTGTTTTGAGCATGTTCAGCTCCAGGTTGTTGTGACTACACCACAGGACCAGCTGCTCAACCTCCCATCTGTAGGCTGACTTGTCGCCGTCTCGGATGAGACCAATGACCGTTGTATCCTCAGCAAACTTTAGGAGCTTGACAGAGGGGTCCTTCGAGATGCAGTCGTTGGTGTAGAGTGAAAACAGCAAAGGGGAGAGCAGGCACCTGTGCTCATTGTCCGGGTGCTGGATGTGGTTTTCCCCAGCCTCACCTGCTGCTTCCTGTCTGTCAGAAAGCTAGTAATCCACTGACAGGTGTGCATAGGTCCCTGGGGAGTCGAGGTGTTGCAGGATGTAATGCAGTGCCATGTTCACTGCATCGTCCACTGACCTGTTTGCCCGGTAGGCAAACTGCAGGGGGTCTACGGTGTCCTTAAGGTGGGCCAACACCAGTCTTTCGAAGGACTTTCTAACTACAGATGTCACAGCGACAGGTCTGTAGTTGTTCAGTCCACTGATAGAGGTTTTCTTGGGGACTGGAATGATGGTGGAGTGTGTGAAGCAGGAAGGGACTTCACACGGCTCCAGTGACCTGTTGAAGGTGAGTGTGGCCAGCTGATCAGCACACACTTTCAGGCAGGAGGGGGTCACACCATCTGGGCCTGGTGCCTTTGTGATCTTGTTTTTTAAAGAGGCCACGCACATCCTTTTCACAGATCGTAGGAGGTGGGGTGCTGGAGGAAATCATGGTGATTGTCAGGGGGGCAGCTGCTGGGTCTGAGGTGGGGAGGGTGAGGGGAGAGTGTTGTTCATCAAACCTGCAGTAGAACACATTCAGGTTATCTGCTAGTTGAGCGGGGGGGGGATGGTTTCCTATAGCCAGTGATGCTTTTCAGGCTTCTCCACACAGACAAGGAGTCATTGGCTGAAAACTGGTTCCTCAGTTTTTCAGAGTAGCTCCTCTTTGCTGATCTGATCTCCTTTGTCAGTGTGTTCCTGGCTTGGCTGTACAGAGTCCTGTCCCCACTTCTCTAGGCTTCTTCTTTGGCACGACGAAGCTGCTTGAGTCTTTCTGTGAACCAGGGCTTGTTGTTGTTGTATGTACAGAAGGACTTGTTGGGCACACACACATCCTTACAAAAGCATGGCAGCTCAGTCTACTCTTAAGGAAATTCACTGACAATATGGCTACTAGGCAAAGGTTTTTGTGTTTAGTTTGCAGATTGATCCTAATTTCTTCTGTTCACCTGAATGCATAAGTAGGTGTGTGGGATGTTTGAAACCTGATTAATGTGCCTCCCAGAGATCAGCCCCTGTGTCTGTTGGCCCATTAGCTCTTTCCTATTCATAGTTATTGACACTTGACTGGCTCCACCATTGTGTGAAGGAATAACAATGGAGCCGTCTATCCCTGGCTGCCATCACTGTGCATTGATAGGGGAAGCAGCCATTGGCCAACCACTTCACAGGTTTCCTCCTTCTCCTTGGTCAACCATTGGCCTACTGAAGTTGTTAACAGGTCTATCTCAAATTTAAATTTCAGGCACACTCCCTGGCCAGTTTTTGGGACATTTCACAGCATGGTGTATGCATTATTGCATGTGGGTGCACATTCTCCAAACAGTGTTTTAGGTATCAGCAGTACAGATTAGTCATGTTCATCTGAATCAGGCCCAGACTTTGTCCTGAGCTGCCTTTTCACCCATGTAGCACTCAACTGAAGATAGTCCATGTCAATCGCGATCTCACCTATTGGAAATACTCCATTTGGTTTATTCATGTGTGTGTGATGGTTTTTTGGGGGGTGGGGGCTGAGTAGAACGTGCAGGAGGTGGGCTTTGATGCAGTCCTGTAGCCAGTTTGCAATTGGGTCATAAAACAACAAAGTCTCTTGTCATTCCTTGAATTTGTCTAATAATTCTGGTGCTGGCTCTTAACCCTCCTGTTGAAATGAACATAACAGGTCCTGTTATGTTCATTTCTTCATATCAAATATTTGTCTCATTTAAAGCAGTTATGTTCATGGGTCAATTTGACCTGCAACATAACAGGAGGGTTAAAGACAAAAGTTTTCAAATCTCATTGTTTCATTTCATTGGTGACCATTTTTCTTCACCATCCGATGTTTGTATTCTTCCAGTTTCACGCTTTTCACATGATTGAACGTCATCAACACTGAGCGAATGGGCTCACTGGGACATTTTGTGAACTTTGTAAAGCCCGGTTAATGTTGCAGTCAACTGACTCAGACTTGCATTCTCACATACAACTCCTCCAGGTAATGTCTAGATAATTTGAGGGTTCCAGTGCATGTCTGAAACGGGCTTCTGTCACATAAACATGATTTCTTGCTTATCTTGTTTTTGACTTGTAAACTGTTACATCTTGCCCACCACTGTCTGTTTTTCATTGTGAAGATGGACAGTGGTGGGATTGCCTTGTCATCTTGCTTGGATTGTCAGTTATGCGCGATGTGCACGTACACAGTCACATGATTCTCTCTGGTGCTGGTCTAGCTTGACAAGCAGGAAACAGAGCCAAGCGGTGCTAATTAAAACAGGTATCTTCTACTCTCTGTGAGAATCAGTTCTGTGCTGCTAAGAGGAGTGTTCTGTACTGTTAGGTATTTTTAGTCAGATAGATATTGGATAGATACTTTATGTATTAGAAATGTTTAGTGGAGATAGGATGTCTAGTTAGACTGTTAAATGCTTAGGCATGATTATGAGTTTCTACAGGGTACATCTGGTCAAGGATACCTAGAGAGAA